AGAGGCTTGTTAATAATGATTTCCCTGGTCACATCAGGGCTGGTGTTGGTTGGTTCGCAGATTTTGGTCTTCTGGATTATCAATCGTCGTATGACTGCAGAATTTAGTCCTGAAACAGTGTATTCGCTGTGACCACTTTTATCATGCCGAAAGGATTGATTGTCCGCACCCTGGATAAAGGTCTAGGCTCTGGCATATAATTCCTGCGCCGTTGATTTTGAACCCAAAGAAGGTTCACTTACGGAGGAAGTATACGCTCTCCATTCTTTAGGATCGGCATCTCCATTTATGAGGAGCAACGCTCCGTTTCACGCTTTTAAGTGTATTGCTTTGACAAGCCACGGAGAGTCCCACAGATGATAGTAGAATGTAGAATGACTACACTTTACTCGATAACTTTGCTGCAATCGACCATAGACTCCTAATCCAAAGTCTACGAGCCTTTTCGGACCTAAGTCTAAATTCTTTTTCCTTTTTCTTTTGGAAAATAGAAATAATGGTCGAAAAAAACTGGGATAAAAACGTGTGATGAACACTGCACAAGAATCTTGAGGTAGTGGCGCCGAACCTAGAAAATCTTGCAGTTACTTACCCTCTGGTAAAAACAAAGAAACTGTTAACTGATCCGCCGCTACTAAGGATAGGAAGTTCTGCCTATAATGATACGTTTCGGTATGGCTTTGGGCGGAAAACAGTCTTTTAAAATGGTGTTCATATGCAAAGTAGATATTGTCTAAGTTCTATAAATGCAAGATGTATGTAATCACCCCTAAATGTACAAAGAAAAAGAGTCCGCACAAATCCACTCAGTACGCCAGGCCCAAGCTGATATCGTGACATGCAAACCCAGAATAACCCCGATTGCGAATGATGGAAAAGAAAAAAGATCAAGGCTCATGCACTCGTGCACTCAGGCGTTTTCTGCGTGGTACATCTGCTCCTCCTTGCGCCCATAAGGGCTCTCGTCGGCAACCCACTCCTGGCGCTGAGGAATCTCATAGCTGCTGCTCTTCCAGGGGACAACCTTGTTGACATACATCCAATCAAGTTCCTCCAGTGTGCGACCCTTTCCTTCAATCACAAAGAAATAAACAATCAGAGTGGCGAAGAAGAGACACCCAGCAAAGACATAGCCGTACGCAAAGTCGATGTCTTTTGTGATAAATGTGGTGAAGAAACTGATCAGGAAGTTCCACAACCAGTTGGTTGCAGTGGCAAGAGCCATACCCTTGGCACGGTACTTGGATGGGAATAGCTCAGCCACAATAGCCCAGACCATAGGGCCCCAGGTCATGGCATATGCTGCAATAAACAGACATGCGACCACAATCATTCCCTTGCCAGCATTAGGAGTGTTGGTAGGGGTTTCCACGTCCAGCACGAAATGACCAATTGATGAGAAGATCATGAACATGACAAACATCCAGCCGGCTCCAAAAATAAGAGACTTGCGTCGGCCAAAGTTTTCAACGACATACAGACCACCAAATGTAGTTCCAAAGTTCACGGCACCGAGGATGACCTGGGTAATGAAGCTGTCTGAGATACCAGCGCCTTCGAAAATAGTTGTACCCTATTCGAGAAAAGAGCCGTTAGTATTTTGTTTCCTTCGGTGGATAGTAGACGGTAGGGGGCTGAGATGCGACTTACATAGTAGAAGAAATAGTTAGCACCACTGAGCTGCTGCAGCGATTGAAGAACCATGCCAAGAGCAATACGATAGAACATGCGGGGAGCAGTGATGAATTCATGCCATTTCTGGTCGTCAGACTCGGCTTCAAACTGTTCACGAATCTCGTCCATTTCTTCCATGATCCGGACGTGGTTCTCTGGAATACCATAGAGCTTGGCTAGGGTACGCTGGGCGCTTTCCACCTTTCCGTGACGGAACTCGTAGCGAGGACTTTCGGGGAAGAAGACCATACCACCGCCAAGGACCAACGCGAAGAGGAAGGTGAGACCGAGCGTGATGCGCCACTGAGCAGTGCCGTCCATTGTGTGGGTACCCAAGTTGATGCAGTAGGCCAGGAAGATACCAAGGGTAACGAACAGTTGGTAGCAACTGATCATAGCACCACGGATATGACGGGGAGCACTTTCACCCTGGTACATAGGCACGAGAAGGGAGCATCCTCCGACACCAAGTCCAGTGACCCAACGGCCGACGACCATTTGGTACCAGTGGCCATCCGGAGAGGCGATTTGAACAATCAATCCAACGTTGAGAATCATACACCATAAGGTGATAGACCACTTGCGGCCGAGCTTATCAGCAACGGGAGCACCGACGAGGGCGCCGATCATGGTACCAATAGAGAGCAGACCGACGATCAAACCAGACCGCGTGGCGCTGAAAGAGTATGAGCCGTCGGCGCCAAGCTGACCGTACCGCTCCAGGTAGTTGCTCATTTCCTGGAAGCCGGAGATCTGACCTGTGTCATATCCGAACAGGAGACCACCCATCGAGACAAAAAGAGCCATCACCAAGGAACGCAAGGTGATCCGAGGGATTGGGGTATCGACGCCCACGGGACGCATGGGTTTTTGAATGGGGCTATTGTGGGAGGAGGTATCGAGGGTTGGCTGTTGAGCCTGGGTGATGGACTCCCCATGGTGGGTAGAGGATTCGACACCCATGGTGTATAGGTAAATGTTGTCTGGCTGAAGATGCCTCAAGTTGGATTGTATATGGGACTAGAGACCAAAGTCGGCAGTAATATGACAAAAAGAGAGGAGTAAGATTTTGGGGGACAGGCCCATGGGGAACAACAGAAAGCCCCGGGGAACATGGGGACAAGGCCCCTTTTGTAATCAACAGGAAAGCAACAAAAACGGCTCATTTTCACCAGGTGGGGAGAGAAGTGTGGAGAGGCTACTCGCGCGAGATGACGATGCCCATGGCCAAATGTACAAATGAGCATGGCAGGCAGGCAACATGCCGGCCGAAGCCGACTCGCACGGCCCGATGAACTCCACAGAAAGAGGGGAGAAGCCATACACAGGCAGTTCCACGTGGTCATCGGCTCTGGTTCGCCATTCAAACGGATAGCCGATTGTCCGGAGAGGCCAGGGTCGGGCTCCAAGCGAGTGGCGAATTCTCCCGACTCGGCATATCATCGCCAGCCAAGACCATGCCGAAGGTCTGATATTCGGTCTAAAACTTCGGGATCACAAATCTCGGAGCCGAGATTTAATCCAGGGTATCAACTTGCCATTTACGTGTTGAAACTGGGGATGTGAGAGTTGCCTTGATACTCCGGATAAGTCTTTCTGGAGTCCGGAGAACGAGGTGGGCCATGTGTCAGCGAAAAGCCGGGCGTTCCGACCCCAGAGGAGTCTCCGGACTGCGAAAGCAGCTCATTCCTCTTCAGTGTGTCGGTGAGTGCCTCCCCCGGGGGGCCGCGCATCTCCAGACAAGGAAGGAGATTTGCTCTGAGGGGAAAATGCGGAGTCTGGAAGTTCCGGGGTGAAATCCTCTCACTTCAGATTCTCTTGCATGGACCGTATTGGAAGAACGGTGACACTACTGCATTATGACCCGCTGAGGTATATTGTATCGGGCGTGTCACAGCATCCCCGATATAATCCCGCCCGGTCGGTATAGTGCAAACTGCATGCCGAGAGCGTCAGTGGCGGTATCTGGGGCGCCACACCCGCCCTACGTCATTGAAGAGTTTTCAGGCTTCGATTTCGCTAGGCATTTCTGGCATTCCTGGGTTCTTTAGGTTTTTTGGAACGAATAATTCTCAATTATACGCATGGATGCCCGATTTCCGTGGATATTTCCCCTAGGGGCTCCAGGGGCTTCAGGGGCAAGTATACGTTAGGTAATTGGCACATCAGGCGAAAACTCTCATTTCCTCCTTCTCAGTTCCCCTTTCCTCCTATACATGGGCATTGTCGAGTCGTCCGCCTAATTCATTGGTAATGAATCTGATAATCAGACAGCACTCAATATTATTAAACTTACGCGGACCCCGTAACGTCACAATATCCGCGTCTTCCCACAATCTCGGAATAGCTCTACTCCGCCAACATTGCGCCGATCCATCCTTCATTCCCCGTGCCAAGTCGGAAAGAATCTTGGTTCGAAAACCCGTTGTGCTCATTGACGGAGCCAGTCAAAGGAACAGGCGGATCCTGTGAAAACGGTCAATCTAGATCGGTGGCGCCTTATTGAGCCACGCATGCCTCCTGTCAGGCACCACGTTTGGATCATTCGACCGAACTGAGAGTCGGCGAGATTCTACTACCGCCATGGTGATCATGTTGTTTGAGAAAAGCTGATTGCTGCTATAAGTGGCTTTGTCCACCACGTATCATTTATAAGTTCCTCCCGTACGTTGTGGATACTTTCCTTTAGTAACAATATGGATATATAACTTACATATTGATTTGCTTTATAACACAAAATAGCTCCCGACACCGATATCAATGACTCCGGTCGGATCAACACTTTACAGGCAGACAGTGTTACTACTCTAACCCCTGTCAGTTTATCGATGAAACACATTATCCTTTAGCCTGCGAACGTCTGGCAATCGGTTTTACTATCCGTTCTTCCGTATTATCATAGTTTGCAAATGCGGCCTCATCTTCTAGGTACGGCGGCTGAAATGCCTTGACAAATCGAGGCAAGCGTGCTCAGGTAGCTAGCAAGCCTCCGTATTCCATTTCTGCGTGAAACCCCGCAATGGCAATTGATTTGTGCTTTTATTGTTCAGGTACCCCGCATAATACAAGCAGGGATCGTGTTGGGAAAATTAGGCCTGTCATTAATGCCAATCCTTAAATTCGTCACGGCGAGGGTAACTCTGCCTTTCCACAAACAACACGGAGGGCTTGTGGAGATGATGTCCACGCCGTGTGTGATAACTGATGTCCCAATTGAGGGCGGGATATTCCCCCGTTGCCATCCCCTTACCTGGTGCAAATATATAATTTCAACTTTGCGCAGATGCAACCCCGGAAAATATGTGCAGCTGGAAAGTTCAGTCACCATGAAAGTAGTAGCAGTTCTATCCTTGACCGGTCTGGTCTCTGCCCAGGTCGCACCTTACGGACAATGTGGTGGAATCGGTTACTCTGGAACGGCAGTATGTACGGCAGGTTGGGTTTGTCAATACCAGAACGACTGGTATAGCCAATGCTTAGCATGTAAGTGCTGCTAGCAGATTCACATGATGTTCATTCCCTCAACTGTTACAGCATCAAGTGGTGGAACCACCACCACGCTCACCACAAAGGCTTCTACCACGTCGACAAGTACAACCAAGGCTAGTTCAACAACTACCAAGACCACTTCAACCACGACTTCTAGCACTGGGGGGACTGGTTTCCCTACCACGAATGGGCTCAAATTTGAGATTGACGGCAAGACCAGCTACTTTGCAGGCTCCAACTCGTACTGGATTGGGTTTCTTACAAATAATGACGATGTCGATACTGTGTTAGATCACATGAACGAATCCGGACTTCGCATCCTCCGAGTCTGGGGATTCAACGATGTTAACACCGTACCATCGTCCGGGACTGTCTACTACCAGCTACTCTCCGGTGGAACGGCTACCATCAATACCGGCGCGGACGGCCTGCAGCGTTTGGACTACGTGGTTGCATCTGCAGAGAAACGCAACGTTAAGCTTATCATCAACTTCGTCAACAACTGGTCTGACTATGGTGGAATGGCGGCGTATGTTACAGCATTTGGCGGAAGTCAGACCAGCTGGTACACGAATACTGCAGCTCAGACAGCCTATCGCACCTACATTAAGGCAGTCGTATCCCGGTACATTGATTCGCCTGCCGTATTTGCTTGGGAACTAGCCAACGAGCCGCGTTGCAACGGTTGCAATCCTTCGGTCCTTTACGACTGGATTGTGTCTACCAGTGCTTACATCAAGTCTCTGGATTCGAAGCACATGGTAGCTATTGGTGATGGTGAGTGAGCACAGATAGTCTTTCACGCCTGTCGATCTACTAACGTCGAATTTTCAAGAGGGCTTTGGACTAGACGCTGGCTCTGATGGCAGCTATCCTTACTCTTATGGCGAGGGGTTAAACTTCACCATGAACCTGGACATTGACACCATTGATTTTGCCACATTCCATCTCTATCCATCGAGCTGTACGCATATCCTCTCCTAAGTTCTAACCGTTGCTAATTTATCCAGGGGGCACTTCCAACGACTGGGGCAACGGGTGGATCACGTCCCATGGAGCCGCCTGCGCAGCTGCTGGCAAGCCATGTCTGTTTGAGGAGTACGGTGTCACATCGGACCACTGTACGATTGAGGCACCATGGCAAGCGACGGCGCTGTCGGCCACTGGTGTCGCGGCTGATCTATATTGGCAGTATGGAGACACCCTCAGTTACGGACAATCGCCAAATGACGGGAACACGTTCTATTACGGAACCTCGGACTTTACTTGTCTGGTGACCGACCATGTGGCAGCCATTACTTCCTAGATGTGAATGACGATAAGAAATTCCGTACTCGAAGTCAGTTTATGCCATGATTGAGAAACAAAGAATATATATTCGATGCGGAAGTAGATTCATTGAAAAGTCCTGCAAGTTCCTTAGACAACACGCTGTATTAGGTCTCATTAGTTCTCTCGCCGTTTGTTGTTTTATCTTACTTCGTAAACTCCACCAATCATCAGATGGGTGGTTTACTCTATGTGGCCAGTCTTTTACTAAGCTACATAGTAATTTCGAACGGCGAGGATATCTATACATATTTAAGTACATACAAGTAGGTCGTATCGGAGGTGCTACAGGCCTCTCAGGTGAGCTAAGAGACAGACACAGCTTTCACTGCCAAAGCCCACAACCACGATCACTAAACCTATTCAAGTATCGTGGACCTTGTCAGGAACCTCGGCATATGTTGGAGGCGAGGTGGGTCGCGATGAGGCTCCATCAGGCTCCACCGCGTCGGTTGGCGGACCCCGGTAGTTATGGTAACCCCAGACTCCATACCAAACAGCAGCGATTGCAACAAAGCCAACAAAGACCACCGAGGCGTAGTTCATGCTTAGCTTGGTCACCACCATGAAAGTCGGCATGCAGAAAAGAGGAATAGCAAGAATACTCCAGGCTACAGAACAATTAGCAGAAGTTTATTGGGAAAACAGGGACAAGTTCCTACTCACCAAGGGCAAGTACGTTAGCCACGAGGCCCACAACTCCAAAGTTGAAGCTCCCTTTCTTGATATCTTCGCGGCGGCGGAAAATCAGTGAGACGGCAATCGGGCAAGCATAACTAGTGGTCAAGAAAATGACACCGACACCGGAGAAGGCATTGTATGCAGCGGTAGAGCCGAAGTAAATCACTCCAAGCACGATTTCCACCACCATGCCTAACACCAAGGCATTGAAAGGAATGTTTAGCTTCGGGTTGACTTTGCTCCACCAGCCAGAACCGGGAATTCCACCGTCACGGGCAAAGGCCCAAGTGCAGCGGGAAGTGGCAGTAACACAACCCACGCCGCAGATAATTCCAAGAACTAGTAGAGGAATAAGCAAACAGAAGGCGCCCGCTGAGTTTCCAATGGCGGCCTTGAAGATCGCCGGGGTAGGTTGACCGGAGGCGAGGTTAATCAGATAAGTCAGATCAGGGAGCACAAAGCACACGGGGATCAAGAAGAGAAGTCCGGCAATAAAGTTGATGACGATGGTTCCGACCATGGCCTTGGGGACCATGATAGCGGGTTCACGCACTTCCTCGCATAGACTAGATATTGTCAGCACGGCTTTTGCGGTGTTTCAATCCAACAAGGAACTCACGAGATGATCATGCCCGTTGCAGAGGTGGCGTAGGCTGCCTGCAGGAGACCGATAAAAAAGGACCATCCAGCGGGCCACCCAGCCTGAGTCTCAAAGTGACCAAACACCCAGGCACCGGAGTGACGACCTTGCTTAGCAATGGCCAGGAGGCAGATGATGATCGCAACCAGACCGGCTAACGTCCAGAAGATGGCAAATGTCTAGATAGAACATATCAGTCCTACACCCCATGGGGTAATATGGCACGTGCCGAACATACCTCCAACCACGGCAGCCATTTGTTGCCAAATGCAGAGATGGCGTGAGTCAACAGGGTGATGGCCAAGAAAATGAGGAAGGTTTGGTAAGTCTGGAAGTCATCGGTGATACCAACACCGGGTGACTTTTCAAAGACATCCAAGCAGGCCACGAAGAGCAAGGCGGTTCCGAAATTCACGGCAAGCGTGATCGTGATATTGCCTGCCACATATGACCAGCCACAGATCCAGGAGGCGACACGACGGCACCAGAGTGGTGACAGGACAAAGGTCTGGTAGTAAACACCACCAGCAGTGGGGTACACCGAAGTGATCTCAGCCAGCGAGATAGCCACGCAGAGAATCAGAAACGAGACGATTACCCAACCCCAGATCACATTGGCGGGACCACCTGCAGCAAGAGGGTAGTATAAAGTAGTGGACAAACCGTAAGGAACCGAAGAGAGAATGAAGCACATAAAGGTCACTTGCCAGATGGAGCGATTGCGCGCCAACTCAGGCTTGTAACCCATGTCTTCCAAGGTCCGATCGGCATTGGTAGTGTCCACACCCTGCTCCCCGGACGGGCGACGTTCAACGAGACCCATATTGAAAAGAAAAAAAGACTTAGTGACTGATGTTCATGCCAGAGAGGGAACTTCGAATAAATGGGAAAATGGGAGAGATAAAAAAGAGTAGGCAAGATACACCAAAAAAAAAGAAAAAAGAAGGAAAAAAAGAAGGAAGTGGAGTAATACGGGGATGACCAGCATATGGAGCCACTTAGAGGGTCACTTTCTACTTTTCAGCCATTCAGATGAGGCATTTAGAGCCACTGAACTAGGTTGTAGCCACTCAGAGCGACATCGTTGAAGGTTCTAACTAGAGTCCGTTACGGAGATACTATGGGCCAATCACATTACTTACGGATTTATCCGAGAAAACACAAGAGATAAACTGATTTGACCCAAGGATCTCTTTACATGTACCTATACTAAACTAGGTAGTGGTGTCCCTTCGGAAACATCTGATAATGACTATATCTACATCTATCCACATCGCTATCATACCATGATACTATGGAAGCGCTACTGTAGGAAAGGTGATATCAGAGGCGCACTTTTCTAACCGCGTAAGATTAGAAATACGCCAAATGCTCACCATGCAGCCAATCAAAACCCTATGAGGATCAACGGCCCCAAATCTGCAAATAAAACCGCAAGTCGGTACCACATCTCAGCCGTGTGCCGTGCGGCCATCCCGTAGATAAGCTCAATTAAGGGGGGGGGAAGGGGGCCCCAAAAGGGGTTTATCAGAGCGAATACAATCACATTCCTCTCAGTTAACTTATCGGAAGAATGTTTAGGTAAAGTCTATGGCCACTTTGAGCGCCTTGTGCTGAGAGGCAGCCTGGAATGTTTCGTATGCCTTGGGGGCCTCGGTAAAGGGGAAATCTGGAACGATTAGATGAGATTGTCTCAGCCTCTTTCAAACATACGATGGGTCACCAAGGAACTAATGTCCAACATGTTCGATTCCACAAGTCGCAGTAGGCGGGATGTTGTTGTCGCGTTGACAAGTGACATATGAATGCCTGAGGTGTTAGTCGGATCTCGCCACTTCCCCTTCTCTTCTCTTCGACTTACTGATGTTACGCTCCCACAGTCTTTCTAGGTGTAGGTCGACCTTGGTACCGTGCACACCTACATTTGCGATTCGCCCACCCACAGCGACCACCTTCTGGCACAATTCAAAGGTCGCAGGGATGCCCACTGCCTCGATGACCGAGTCGAATCCCTGACCGCCCGTGAGGTCCATGAGTTTTTGCTCTGCGTCGGGGCTCGAGACTACTGTGGCATGTGCTCCGAGACTATGCGCTGTCGCCAGTCGCCCCTCGTCTAGGTCCACCATCACTATCAATGAGGGCGTATATAAGCGGGCCGTGAGAAGTGCCGCCATGCCGACCGGGCCCGCGCCCACAATCGCCACTGAACCTCCCAACTGAACTCCCGCGCTCAAGACGCCACATTCAAGACCCGTAGGGAACGCATCGGATACTGCGACCGCAGCGCGTGCGTCAATGGAATCAGGAAGCGGGTGCAGCGAGAGGGTGGCGTGGGGAACACGAACGTATTCAGCCTGAGTGCCATCGATCTTGTTCCCCAATGTCCACCCGCCCGTTATACAATGAGCTGCCAGGCCTCGCTGGCAGAATCGACAGGCTCCACACGAGGTCATACAAGAGATTAGAACACGCTGGCCAAGTTGTAAAGTGTGCACGGCAGACCCAAGGGACTCGACCACACCAACGCCCTCGTGTCCTAGCACCCGCCCCGGTTCGATGCTCGGCACGTCGCCTTTGAGGATATGGAGATCTGTTCCGCAGATAGAAGCGTGCAATAGACGAACTACGGCATCTGTGGGTACCTGCACGGTCGGCTTTGGGCGGTCCAAGACCTCCACGGTCCCGGGTCCAGTGTAGACGAGGGCTTGCATAGCGTTGGAGTAACTCAAGCTATCTGGGGAAGATATAGAACCCCTTTCGGCAATTTTGGCATTTTTGGCATGGAGAGTAGACGTCAAAGATATACCTGTTGAAACTGTCCTCGTCTCGAGTTTCGGGCACATCAGCGAGTCCCCACGTCGGGCATCATCCGATTCCCGAACCCTTTCGGTCCGCATGCGGGGAATGTGGAGATATGAATTTATGGGTCATACCACAGGTGGAAAAGGGTGCAGGTTCATGATTAGGTTGGGCTTGATACATATATACCTGAGCAGTCTGCATTTCTAGGCGGGAGACCACTGCTCTCTGGTGTAATTCATGTTGTGTTACTTTGGGAAGAACAAACTCAGTAGTTACGTCCAACGGGAAACACAAAGTGATGTGTAACACACATTTGCATCTGTGCGATGTTGAATTAAAGTAACTCAATCTGGACTTTCCTGGCTGCTTGAAAATATATGAGGATCTCACATAGGCCAGGCTACCAAGAAGACTTGTTCAGCATAACCAAATCCAGAGCACAAACCCCAAACACCTGTGAGAATTTGAGCAAATCCACTATCAACTTGGAAACCGCTCTCGTGTATATGACTCGAGATGTTTGGGGCCGTGCACCATCTCGGAATGCATCTCGAAAAAATCCTGTCAAGATGAATAAGTGCAATATATATGAGGCAAAAGTTCGGCTCGTTTACGGAGGCTACTGGTTAATGCGCCGTTCAGCAAGGTTCTGAATACGGAAAACATGCTTCCATTTATGTAGCTCGTATTCCATAGTTCACTTGACATGTGCCTTCCAATCTAAGCTTGTTTAAGGTTAGTTCCCCTTCATTGATGATACCCAGCATTGCCTGTTTAGGACCAGTCCCGTGAACTAGCCCTTCTTAGGAATAGTGTAGCATCTGTGATTGGTTGGCATAAAGGTCTATACCAAATTAGGACTGGCTCCAACTATCCACGCCCTGTTTCGTGCCTCGCTTCGTGACCCTGCACTCTTGCCGATAAGCCACATCCTGTGAGTTGATTCAAGACAAGCCCAGAGAGTTTGCCGAGCAATAATACGCCCCGGACCGGTTGCCGGACCGGTGTCGTGGTGGTTTCTATGTGCTTTAATATGTTGACTTGAGATACCATTCCGGTCGACCGGTCGTGAGGCAGGTGTGGCTGTCAGTTATCATGAATGAGATAGGACGAACAGTGTTCAAATCACAGTCCTTTCCTCTAAACAATCTCTGATAGCCCGAGGCCAAGGTCTACTGAAGCATTTTGGGCGTTACCAAGTGGTGGGCTTGGGGTTTCTCTGGCCGCTAGGAGGCTCACTTGCAACAAAAGAAGCCAGGTCAGAATATTGATCTCAAGTCTAGGCTATGGAGGCTAATACAATCGAAGTTGCAAAGTAAGAAAATCAACCTTATCTACCGCCACGAGGCTCACCCCGGAATTGCGCATTTAGCGGGGCTTGGCTGTCACGTCGGTAAGCTGACCCTTCCCCCGGACCAGTCATGGATCAGACATGAGGCGGCTTTGTCCCCTGTGGCTTTTCGGGGTATGCATTCGAGATGCAACCTTCGGGATCTAGGGAATATTTAAAGCTATTCCAATTTCCCCCATCCTCCAAATCTTCTCTAAACACCCAACGACTAGTCAAAATGGCAGCCATCGATGCTGCACCCCATGTCTCCCATGGAGATGCTCATCATTCCATGAGCGACAAAGGCAAAGCAGTTCGAACGCTTGTCGAAGCGGACCTTCTCGATGAGCGCTATACAACCACCAAACGTGGACTGAAGAACCGCCATGTCCAGTTGATGGCACTTGGAGGGACGATTGGGACTGGTAAGTTGAAGTTATTACAAATAAATGTCATTCAAAATCAGTGAGCTTACGCAACTCAGGTCTCTTTGTCGGCTCCGGCCAGGGACTGGCCACTGGAGGCCCCGCGTCGCTTCTTCTTGGCTACCTCTTCATCTCGGCCATGGTTTATGGCCTTGTCACTGCTATTGCCGAGGTTGGCGCCTACCTGCCAGTCCACGGTGGCACAATGAGTTACCACGGATTCCGATATGTGTCACGGAGCATGGGATTCGCCATGGGATACCTATACTGGTACTCTCTCGGTATCCTGGTGCCTTACGAGATCACGGCAGCTGGTTTGGTTATTGGATACTGGGATCAGAGTGGATCGGTCAACATCGCGGTATGGATCACCGTCATGATGATAGTTATCATTGCCCTGAACTTCATGCCCGTGCGAGTATACGGCGAGTCCGAGTTCTGGTTCGCGGGCGTCAAAATCATCACTTTGGTTGGTCTTTTGATGGTTTCTTTCATTCTCTTCTGGGGCGGCGGGCCTAACCGTCAGCGATTGGGATTTCATTACTGGAAGGACCCTCGCCCGTTCAATGAATACCTCGTCACAGGAAATACCGGCCGATTCGTGGCATTGTTGAAGTGTACTGTCTCGAGCGCCATTGCCTTTATCTTCGCCCCCGAGCTGATTGTAATCAGTGGCGGTGAGATGGAGAGCCCTCGACGTAATGTGCCCCGAGCAGCCCGGCGCTATATCTACCGTTTGGTTTTCTTCTATATCTTCGGTGTGCTGGCAATTGGCGTGATTTGCCCATCCAATGCCTCACGCCTGACGAAGGGCGACGGCACGGTGAGCTCTTCGCCTTTCGTGATTGGGATCAAGAATGCTGGAATCCCTGTTTTGGACCATATCGTGAATGCCGCTGTATTGACTTCTGCCTGGTCCGCCGGTAACTCCTTCTTATACATGTCATCGCGATCGCTCTATTCCTTGGCCATGTCTGGGAATGCACCAAGTATTTTCAAATCGTGCAACCGATGGGGAGTGCCATACTATGCTGTCGGAGTGTCGGCGTGCTTCTCGGCATTGGCCTACCTTGCTGTCGGCAACTCCAGCTCAATTGTCTTCAACTGGTTCGTGAACTTTACCAATACCTCCGGCTTTATCTCCTGGATTTGCTGCTGCATCGTGTTTTTCCGATTCCGCAAAGCCGTGGAAGCGCAGGGGATCGAGCAACCATACAAATCGCGGCTACAGCCCTATGGCGCCTATTTCGGCCTGGCAGGTTCCATACTCATGTTGCTCATCAATGGCTTCACAGTTTTCTTCCCATCTGAGTGGTCGGTGAGCAGCTTTTTCACCGCATACATCGGTATTCCGGCCTTCGTTATTCTCTATTTCGGACACCGGGCTCTCTACTGGAGTGACCCATGGGCTTGGCGCCCTGAAGAGGTCGATATGCATACTGGCTTAGACGAGATTCTTGCGGCTGAGCTACCCGCGCAGCCACGCGGACCTTGGTGGAAGATTTGGTAAATATATCACATATAAAGCGAGGGAGATCAGTGTTTACTATTAGTCACTTGCATTAACAGCAAAGAACGGCTAGAAATTGAATGTGGGTGTGTTCACTCAACTCGCCCGCCTTATCGAAATGCAGCTTTCCATATTTTCCAATCAGATTGCGTTCTTCCTCCGCAATGTGGAGTCGATCTTATCAAAACTACCAAAGATGGAGCAAGTGGCGACAGCTGGATTCCTTTAATAGTTCTGTGTTCGCTCGGTGTACGCCGTCAACCGCCTCAACCCGGCCCGACCTATGCTCATTGTCGAACCTTAAAGAACCTGCCGTGCGCACTTCATTCCGGCATCCCGAACACTTTTGACCGAAATGGCCGTGCCACCACTTACCGTCCGTCCGATCCAGCCTCCGCCAGGCTCGGATATTGATTTTGGTGCTGAGATCGAGGGCGCTAACTTGGAAACCTTGACCGGTAGGGACTCTACTTTATCGTACGGGAGCTTTGACTAAATAACATTTCATAGACGAGCAATTCGCAACTATTCGTGACGCTCTTTACCGCTACCATGTGGTCGTATTCAAAAATCAGAAAGGACTATCCCCCAAAGCTCAATATGAGCTCACCAAACGCTTCGATCCTGCCTCCGACAATTACGGACATGGCAAGACTATTGACGCAAAGCGGAGCATACTTCATCCCGATCTCAAGACCATTCCCCATCAGCCTCAGGTCCAGGTCATTGGAAATGGTTTTGTTCCATCATACGAAGGGTTGAAAGATGTTACATTACGTCACCCTCACCACCGCACATTCCACAAAGATCACGTCCCCGATGATCAAGATTATGATTTCACTCGGTTCTATCGCTGGCACATCGATGCTGCACTCTATGACCTATACCCACCCCAGGTGACGACACTCATGGCCGTAAATGTACCTAAAGGTCGCCGTCAGACACTCTTGTATGATGATGGGACGGGAGAAACAATGGATGTTCCCCTGGGTACAACGGCGTTCGTGAGTGGTGAACGCATGTTCGAACTTCTCTCGCCCGAGGACAAGGAGTTTGTCAAAACGAGCAAGATAGAATATGCTCCTCACCCGTGAGTCCCTAACTTTTCCAACCGTGATCAGTCAAATAATCTGACTCGCAACAGTTATATCTGGATGAGCCCAGCGCGGTCTCGCTCCACTGGACTAGGCATGCACTCGGAAGGCCTCGAGCTCCCAGAATCAGACCTTCCGCCAATCGACCCTAGCAAGATCATGGTATATCCTATGACGTGGAAGAATCCTGTGACGGGCAAGCTGGCTTTGCAGATTCACCCATCTGCCGTACGGCGAATTCACTGCGCTGATGGTACTGTGATCGACGATTTGGCTCGCGTGCGCGACATTGTCTACAAACTGCAGCGACCAGCGATCAGCCCACAATACGTGTATCCACATGACTGGGTGGACAACGATTTGGTATTGTTCAACAACCGTGGAGTGCTACACTCGGTAGTCGGTGCGTTCAAACCAGATGAGGTTCGCTTGTTCCGTCAGTGCAATTTGGCTGCTTCTGATCCGCCAGTCGGACCATGATCTTGCTTGATTTCAATATAATGACTGTTATGTGTTTTCAATGTCTTTGGTCGTCAAATCATGTTAATAA